CCCAGCTCTGCCCGACCTGGGCATTGACGTGACTGTGCGCACAGCCCAACCCCCGACCACCTCGCAAGCCTGCATCAAGGTGGGCGCTGCCCTTCGCCGAGCCGAAAAGGAGAAGCGCGACTACTACACCGGTTTCAACCATGGAAAAACTCTGATCGTCCCTGCGGCGATGACGACAACCGGTGGGTTCGCCTCCTCCTTTGTGGATCTGCTTGGTCAGCTCGCCCGCTGCGCCGAGGCCCGTGGTGTGTACCAGCCGGGGCTGGATGAGGCCTTTGTTCCCCGGTGGAAGGGTCGCTTTGCGGCGCTGGTCCATCAGATGAACGCTGACCACATCCAGCGCCACTTTGGCGGTGTCTGCCTGCGCTCGTCGTAGGTAGGCACCGTCTCGGGGGTCCCTCTGTGGGGATCTGTCAGGCTCCAGCACGTCTGGAGGCCGTCTTTGGGTTGCGAGGAAGCGCGTAGGTTTGAGGAAGCGTTTTGAGAGAGGTTTGAGAGACGTCCGTCGGAGCGGAGCGAAAGCTTTGGTGGTGTCTTGAGGTCAATTGAACCAGCTGCGGTCGGCAAGCATTCACAGTGACCAGACCAGGTGCACCGTTAGAATAGCTGTAGAGTCGCTCAATCCCGAGGATAGGGAAAGGTCACAAGAGAGCAGAGCACACAGGAGAGCAAGGGGAAGACAGAATGGCAGAGGGCTTGACGTACCTGCGGTCGGCAAGCATTCACAGTGACCAGACCAGGTGCACCGTTAGAATAGCTGTAGAGTCGCTCAATCCCGAGGATAGGGAAAGTGCAACTCGTGCCCGACCGCAGGTGTCACAACAAAGGGAAACAACAGTAGCCACAAGCTTATTGCCCCAGGGCAGCTGCCCAGGCATCGTGGGGACCGCGTCACACGCGGTGTTTACTCATGTGACTGCCACGAGGAGGATCAAGCCCAGGGGGTCCAAAAGTAGGTGTCAATGTGTGAGGTCGTCGTAGCTATGGAATACCAATAGGAAGACCCATAGCGACCGATGCTGAGTGTGTGCGAAAGCAGTGGGAGTGTTCAAATGCGTGGAAGCACGGATTTGACGCTAACACCCCCCCTCGCCA